GACAACATAAAGCCAACATCCCCCCACGGTCAGCCAGAAAAATGATGACGTGGAAAGCCATTCCAACAGCGAGGGTATCCCCGGCGGGAAGTCACTTCTGAGGGCAAAGTCAAAGACAGCATCCTGCCCTCACACTCAGCCCCCCAAACTATGGCACGGAAACAGCCGTGTGCCAACACCGTGTGCTGGCTCTAGCCCCTGGTGTCAACACAATAAACCCAACCATCCCCCACACATTTCTTTGTCCGCTGCTTCTTCTCTGCTTGTCCTGAGGTGGGCCGCCTTAGGTGCTGGGATCACAGGGTTTTGTCCTCCTCAGCACCTTCCCAGCAAACTGGGTGGGCAAAACCAGCGTGGCACGTCAGAAGGCTGTGACACAGCAGTCAGTGCAGGCACAGAGTTAGCAGTGCCCGTGGCACCTGGTCACGCTGGAGAAGAGCAATCACTTCACAGCCTGTTCCTCCTCTACAGCACCAAGGTGCAGCCATAGTCCCCACGCTGCAGGGAGCTGTTGCAAGAAGGAACGTGGTGACTCAGCACCAGACGTCCACGCAGCGGTTCAGGTCTCAGGCTGCAAAGAGCGCCTGACACTGTCACTGCTACGCAAGGGCAACGGAGATACCGCCTGTGCGCCGTGTGAACACGTGGATGATGATCACACGGAGCGAAAGGTGGAGGGGTTGGGGAGCCTCTGGGATTGTGTGAGGGATATAGATTGGTGGAGTCGCACTCCGCCGTCCTCGCAGGAAAGGCTCCAGGAGACGCTCTACAAGAAGCAGTGGATCGTCTACCTTCCAGCAGGCAGACATGAGGAGGGGACCTCAGGGACTGCGAGGGATGGAAACGAGGGCCTGCTCAGGGCAACAAGCAGTTTGCCTCGCAGCCTGTGCCACCTTCCCAGGTGCCCTTTGCGCTCCTGGGGAGACCTCACTGTGGCCTTCGGGTATTTGAAAGAAGTGTGTAAACAGGAGGGCTATGACTGTTTCACAGAATTACAGAATGGCCCGGGATGGAAGGGACCTCAAGGATCATGAGGCTCCAACCGCCCCGGCACAGGCGCGGCCACAAACCTCCCCATTTGATACCAGATTGCCCAGGGCCGCATCCAACCTGGCCTTGAACACCTCCAGGGATGGGCGGGGCATCCACAACCTCTCCGGGCAGCCTGTTACAGCACTTCACCACTCCCATAGTAAAGAACTTCCCACTGACATCCAACCTCAATCTTCCCTCTCTGAGCTTTAATCCCTTCCCTCTTGTCCTATCACTATCTACCTGAGCAAAAAAAATGACGCCACTCATCTTTATAATCCTACTTGAAACACAAGAAGGCTGCAGTGACGTGTCCTCTCAGCCTTCTCACCCCCAGCATGAAAAAGCCCAGCTCCCTGTCTCGCTCCAATTTATAGGAGGGAGAGGAGGTTCTTTTAATACCTGTATACCCGGCGTGAGATTAAGAAACAACGGCTCAAATGTTGGTTCGACCAGTTTATTACAAATTAAGATTAGGGAAATGGGGAAGGGGAGGACGGACACTATTATGAATTAGGGTAATGGGGAAGGGAAGGAGGGCGATAGAAAAGATAGAAAAGAAGAAGCAAGGAGTCTTTATAGGAAGCAAGAGGGAGATAGTCACCACCATGGATCCAGCGTGGTTGGTAGTTCAGTCTTTGATCTTCGGTAGGGGTGGGTCGTCGGGCATTGTTCTGTTGATGGCAACCACAACGGCGAGAACCACGACGACGACCATGGCGATGGTGGCCCCTTTTCAATGCTTTCAAAGTGGTCGAGTCAGCTGTCTTTGGAGTGATGGCTCAAATCCAAAGTGGTTGAGTCAGCTCTCCTTGGAGTGGCAGCTTCTGGCTCTGGGATCTCAGCAGGAAACTGCTTTGTTCCTATCCTCCTGGCCTTGCCAGCAGATAAGAGGGAGCAGGGAGGTGCCAACTTGTATCTTGCCTTCACAGGATACAATGGCATTGTGCCCCAGTCTTCCACAGCAAACAGGAGATCTTTGGTCGCAGGCTAGATCTTTTGCCAGTAAACAGTCCTGAGCACTGTCTTCCGAAGGCAAACAGCTCCAAAGATGTAAAACTGTCCACACAGTGATGTTGATTGCCACACAACACCCATCGCTTGCCTCCTGAACAAATCATTCAGAGTCTTATCACAAGAAAAACCTCAGGAAGCAAGCTTTGAGCCAAAAACCAAGGAAGGATTCTCACACTCCCCCAGCCTGTCTTTGCAGGGGAGCTGCTCCAGGCCTCTGATCACGTTTGTGGCTCTCCTCTGGGCCCTCTCCAGCAGCTCTCTGTCTTTCCTGTAGTGGGGGCTCCAGACCTGGCCACAGCACTCCAGATGGGGCCTTACGAGGGCAGAGTATGGAGGCACAATCCCCTCCCTGTCCCTGCTGGCCACCCCTCTTCTGATGGAGCCCAGGATACCGTTTGCTTCCCGAGCTGCAGAAGCACGCCGCTGGCTCATGTTTTTTTATCCATCAGGACGCCCAGGTCCTTCTCAAACTCGACTGTTTGTGAGGGTGGAGAGTGATAGGACAAGGAGGAATGCTTTTAAACTGAGACAGGGGAGGTTTAGGTTAGATATTAGGAGGAGGCTTTCCACACAGAGCGTGGTGACAAACTGGAACAGGCTGCCCAAGGAGGTTGTGGATGACCCATCCCTGGAGGCGCTCAAGGCCAGGCCGGATGTGGCTCTGGGCAGCGTGGTCTAGCGGCTGGCGACCCCGCACACTGCAGGGGGATTTAAACTAGTTGATCATTCGGGGCCTTTTCAACCCCGGCCATTCTGTGAATGGGTAGGAGGCTCTGGAGCTGGACGGACGGGAGATGTGGATGAAGGACCCTCCACGTTGCAGGGGTTGCCCTGGGCAAGTCAGACTGCCCTGTGTCACCGCACCATCCATCAAGAAAAAAAGAAGAGATGTCATCACGGGGGACTCCCTTCTGAGGGGAACAGAGGGCCCCACATGCCGTTCATGTCCCTCCCCCCAGGGAGGTGTTTTGCCTGCTTAGGGCCTGGGTGACATGTCACTAGGAACGTCGCTCCGTATGACGGAGTGACGGCATTGGTGGACAAAAGGAAGGTGAGACCAGTGTCATTTACTTGGACTCGTGCAAAGCCTCTGATGGTCCCCCACCACATCCTTATCTCCAAATTGGAGAGATGGGGATTTGATGGGTAGACCACCTGGTGGATACGGAGTTGGTTGAAAGGCTGCAGGCAAAGGGTAGTGATAGAGGGTTCATGTCCTGGTAGAGGCCGGTAACGAGCTGTGCCCCCCAGAGGTCTGTTTTGGGACCGATACTCTTTAACATCTTTATCAGTGTCATCAATGATGGAGTTGAGTGCACCCTCAGCAAGTTTGCTGATGACACCACGCTGAGTGCTGCGGTTGTGACACGGTGGAAGGAAGGGATGCTGTTCAAAGGGACCCCCACAGACTCAAAGGGTGGGCCCAGGTGAAGCCAATGAGGTTCAACACACCAAAGTGCAAGGTTTGGCACTTGGGCCAGAGGAATCTCAGGCATACGTACAAACGGGAAGGAACAATCCTGGCAAGTAGCCCTGCAGAGAAGAACCTGGGGGTCCTGATGGATGAAGACCTGAACATGAGCCAGCAATGTGCTCCTGCAGCTCAGAAAGCAAATGCAAACCTGGGGTCCATCAGAAGAGGGGTGGCCAGCAGGGACAGGGAGGGGATTGTCCCTCTCTACTCTGCCCTCGTGAGGCCCCATCTGGAGTGCTGTGGCATCCAGGTCTGGGGCACCCAATACAAGAAAGACAGAGAACTGTTGGAGAGGGTCCAGAGAAGGGCCACAAACATGATCAGGGGGCTGGAGCAGCTCCCCTACAAAGACTGGGGCCGAGGGAGCCGGGGCTCTGCAGACTAGATAATAGAAGGCACAGCGGAGAACTCACTGAGCCCTTCCAGTGCCTGAAGAGGACCTACAGGAAAGCTGTCTGTTTTAATGGGCATGTAGCAACAGGACGACGGGAAACATGGAAGAGGGCAGATTTAAACGAGATACTAGGAAGAAATTCTCCACGGTGAGGGCGATCCTTGTCAGCAGTGAAGAAGAGGTATCTCCTTGAGGAAGATCTGGTATGTTCTTGTCACACAGCTGACCAGATCAATCTACGTCCGTGACAGGGGACACGGGGGCAACAGGCCGCTGCCCTCCCCCCCCACCCCAGTCCCACAAAAATGGGAAGAAAGGAAGGGAGGAAAAGAGCAGCGGCAACAATCTATGGAGGAAAACTTATTTTACTATAATATCGGAATACAAGATAACAAAATACAATACAATTTAATAGAAATTGAGATTAAAAAATCAGACAAGATGAGAGAGAGAGTTCGCGAGACCGAGTCAAGCCTGAAAAGCCTGGAACGGCTAGGAAAGCACCCTCCAGCACCCACTGCAACGCAGCAAGAGAGCGATGAGAGCAGATCCCGTGACTTCTGTAATGCACAGGGATAGGTACCAGGGACTGGGGCAGTGACACTTTAATGCCCCGTGCACTACACGATGTTTTGATGTGGAATACTGAAAGCCAAAAAACAAACAAGCAAAAAACCAAAAAACCAAAAAACATAGCACCATGACAGTTACCCAGGCAAGGGGACAACCGCGCAGAAAGAAGTCGAGCAAGTGAGGGAATGAGCTGTGCTGGGCGTGATGCACAAAGTACTGACAAAAGGAGGGGAGATGGACACAGGTTGTTGGAAGCAAGTTCTTTCAGAGGTTACACAGAGAAGCTGTGGAGCCGCCGCTCTCCTGCTTGGAAACCCATAGCCCAGCACCGCAGCCTCACACCGTGAGGCGGTGACGGTGATGTCACAGTGGGTGTCAGGGAGCGGCCATTGTGACGCGTGAAGCTTGGAGCAGAGCAAAGGCTGCCGGGCTCAGGCCGAGCGTCAGTGCGGCTTGGTGAGGCGTGGAGAGAGCAGGTTCTCTGGTAGTGCTCACCGTCAACGCACAATCATGTCCAGTGAGAAGAGGAAGGCCTCCAGCTCAGAGGAGCCAGGTGAGAGCACAGCATCCCTGCGCACAGCTCCCAGCACTGGACAGAGGGGTGCCGGGGCTCTGCCTGCGGCTGAGAGCTGAGAGCTGAGAGGGGAGGAAGGGGCAGGCAGGAGCTCCCAGACAGGCATGGGGCAGGGCCCCTCTGCTCCTTGGCAAGGGGGCCCAGCGTGGGCTGTGACTGCCTTGGGCCTGCCGTGGCCCCTTCCCCTCCACCGCCTCCAGCCAGCACGGCAGGCACAGAGCAGGACCCTGGGGACAGCCCTCAGGGACGCCTGGCCCCACCAGGCGCTCACCGCTACTGGCATTTGCTCTCTCCTCAACAGTGTGCGTGCTGTGTGGCCGGGCAGACGATGACCCGGACATCTTTGGGCGCACTATTGGCGGCGATTTCGTGACTGTCCACGAGTTCTGCTTGGTGAGTTCCCCCAGCGGTGATCCCATCTGCTTCCAGCCGGGATGCGCCCTTCCTTCCTGTCCTCATGACTCCCTGCTCTTTTCTCTCCTCCAGGTTTTTGCCCACATCGCTTTTGAAGAAAGACCCCCAGAGGAGGAATCTACGGGCATTGACCTTGCTGCCCTCACGCGCAAGGCCAAGCAGGCAAACAAGGAGGTGAGGACCTGAACGCAGCAGGCAGATCTGTGCGAGGAGGGGCTCACACCAGCTTAGTCCGGACCCAAGGAAAGCAATCACGGCCTTCCAACCGCCTCCGGCACAAAGGCCTGCCCATAGGGGATCAGCCCTGTCCACCAAGCTGCTTTGTAGAGGGTGACCCAGAAGTGCCCACATCCTGTGCCCTGCCCAAAGGTGCGCGGCCGGCTGTGGAGGTCCTGTGCCTGCTGCTGATGGGGCTGTTCTGCTTTTTCCAGCAATGCTGTGTCTGCGGCGAGAGGGGGGCTGCCATCACATGTGCAGAGAGCGGCTGTGCACGCAGCTTCCATCTGCCCTGCGCTGCAGACGGAGAATGCATCACACAGCATTTTGGAGAGCACAGGTAAGGGCTCCCAGCACAGGTAGGAGCTCCCAGTAGCCAAGCCAGGGGGGAACCCACAAGGTCGCCTCCCAGCAGCCTGCCAGAGCCAGGGCCTGGGGCTCCTCCCTGCTCCTCCCCCGTCCTCACAGCGCTTCTCACTGCGCCCACCCATCCCTTCCGTCTTCCCCCAGGTCCTTCTGTTGGGAGCACCGCCCTCGACAGACACCGGTGACAACTCCAGCAGAAGACACCATCTGCATCATCTGCCAGGAGACCGTGAGGGGCAGCTTGGACTATCACACCATGGTGTGCCCCATGTGCACACGTGCCTGGTTCCACCGGGGTTGCGTCCAGGTGGGAGCCCTCTCCTCACCCTGCAGGCGTGCTTAGTGCCCAGCAACACCAGGCACTGCTCACGCTCACCCTGCTTGTGCTTCTCCTGCAGAAACAGGCATTGAATGCGGGCACGACGTGCTTCCGGTGCCCCAGTTGCAGAGACGACGCAGTATTCTGTGCCGTGATGTCTACCATGGGAATCCGAATCCCAGCCAGGTTGGTGTCCTCCTGTCCAAGCATGCAGATGAGAGGGTGCAAGCGCCGGGCCTGCCCAGGCACTGTCTCGGCAGGCCTGGCCCTTGGCTGTCTCATGAAGCCTCAGCTTCATGAAGAAGCTATAAAATGGCATCGGGGTGGATGAGATGGGATAACCTTAGACCTGATGCTGGGGACGCTGGGGGCTTATCAGTTTCCCTCCCTTCTCTCGTAGAAGACCAACATGGGACGACGACGGTTCCTATGAATCCCTCCTCCAGAGGCACCAGCGCTGCGATGCCAGGTGGTGCCTTTACCCTGGAGGCAGAGAGCAGGCAGAGAGAAGGGGGTGAGTTACCACAGCAGCTCGCTGAGGCTCCACGGGGGATCTCAGCCTCAGCACAGGCTGGGGGAGCAAGGGCGGAGCGCCAGAGATGTGCTGTGCCAGGGACTCCCTCGCTTGCTCACTTGGTCCTCACAGCCACAACCCCTTTGCTTCCCCAGGCCCTGGCAGCTGATCCTGTGCAGCTCCTGCGCTGCTGAGGGCACTCACCGACAGTGCTCCCCCTTGAGCAACACAACAGCCACGTGGGAGTGCGACAGCTGTGCTGGCCTGGGTACCGGTAAGAGGCAATCAGCCGCGTGGCACCGCGCTGGGGCCAGGCAAGGCCTGGCAGCAGGTGCTCAGGGCAGCTTTGCCAGAGTCTCTCTGCCCCAGGAGGGATGGCGACCTGTCCCTACCCAGGGCTACAGCTCCATCCTGCTGACCTTCCCGCCTCCCCTTACAGCCGCCAGCACCATCCCGGAGCGTGCTGGGCCCAGCACTGCCAGCCAGGAGGGCCTGCAACCATCCCACGGCCCCCAGGAACCGGAGGACAGCAGGTCCGGCCCCACCAGCCAGGCGGCATCGGGGCCATCACACAGCTCCCAGCCGCCAAAGCTCAGCAGTCAGACCTGTGAGCTGGGGACCGAACAGGGGACGATCCCCCCACATTCTCCTGACCATCAGGATGCATCTGAGCTGCACCAAGCACCCCGTGGCAGCAGACGCACGGCAGCCCCAAGAGCTGAAAGCAGCTCACAGCCAGCCACCAGACGGGGCTCATCGCGATCCTCCAGAGCAGCCACAGTGGCTGCACGCAGAAGGCGTTCCAGGCAGCGGGGAACAAGCCGGACACGAAGCCGCTCCCCGCTGCAAGGTCGGGCCGCAGGTTCCCAGAGCCGGACCAGAAGGCCTCAGGGCAGCAGGCGAACACCACCTCCAGCTGCTCAGGACAGCGCCCAGAGCACCACCAGGCCGGTGACACGGAGGTCCTTGAGGGCTCCCCTGTATTCACACCCTGGGGAACGGCCTGGGCGGCCAGGGGAGGCCCGCGTGTGAAACCGTTCCTCAGTGGCACATCGAGTCCCAGGCGTCCACAGCCGGCCCTGAGGAAGCTGCAGGAGACAATGCCAACAGCGGGGGCTATTCCAGGCATGAAGTGACTCCCGGGTCCGACATCAAAGCCAGCATTTCCCCTCCAGTCAGCAGTTTCAGCAGCAGGGGCTATCCCGGGCATGAAGTTACCGCTCCTGGGGACAACATAAAGCCAACATCCCCCCACGGTCAGCCAGAAAAATGATGACGTGGAAAGCCATTCCAACAGCGAGGGTATCCCCGGCGGGAAGTCACTTCTGAGGGCAAAGTCAAAGACAGCATCCTGCCCTCACACTCAGCCCCCCAAACTATGGCACGGAAACAGCCGTGTGCCAACACCGTGTGCTGGCTCTAGCCCCTGGTGTCAACACAATAAACCCAACCATCCCCCACACATTTCTTTGTCCGCTGCTTCTTCTCTGCTTGTCCTGAGGTGGGCCGCCTTAGGTGCTGGGATCACAGGGTTTTGTCCTCCTCAGCACCTTCCCAGCAAACTGGGTGGGCAAAACCAGCGTGGCACGTCAGAAGGCTGTGACACAGCAGTCAGTGCGGGCACAGAGTTAGCAGTGCCCGTGGCACCTGGTCACGCTGGAGAAGAGCAATCACTTCACAGCCTGTTCCTCCTCTACAGCACCAAGGTGCAGCCATAGTCCCCACGCTGCAGGGAGCTGTTGCAAGAAGGAACGTGGTGACTCAGCACCAGACGTCCACGCAGCGGTTCAGGTCTCAGGCTGCAAAGAGCGCCTGACACTGTCACTGCTACGCAAGGGCAACGGAGATACCGCCTGTGCGCCGTGTGAACACGTGGAGGATGATCACACGGAGCGAAAGGTGGAGGGGTTGGGGAGCCTCTGGGATTGTGTGAGGGATATAGATTGGTGGAGTCGCACTCCGCCGTCCTCGCAGGAAAGGCTCCAGGAGACGCTCTACAAGAAGCAGTGGATCGTCTACCTTCCAGCAGGCAGACATGAGGAGGGGACCTCAGGGACTGCGAGGGATGGAAACGAGGGCCTGCTCAGGGCAACAAGCAGTTTGCCTCGCAGCCTGTGCCACCTTCCCAGGTGCCCTTTGCGCTCCTGGGGAGACCTCACTGTGGCCTTCGGGTATTTGAAAGAAGTGTGTAAACAGGAGGGCTATGACTGTTTCACAGAATTACAGAATGGCCCGGGATGGAAGGGACCTCAAGGATCATGAGGCTCCAACCGCCCCGGCACAGGCGCGGCCACAAACCTCCCCATTTGATACCAGATTGCCCAGGGCCGCATCCAACCTGGCCTTGAACACCTCCAGGGATGGGCGGGGCATCCACAACCTCTCCGGGCAGCCTGTTACAGCACTTCACCACTCCCATAGTAAAGAACTTCCCACTGACATCCAACCTCAATCTTCCCTCTCTGAGCTTTAATCCCTTCCCTCTTGTCCTATCACTATCTACCTGAGCAAAAAAAATGACGCCACTCATCTTTATAATCCTTGAAACTTGAAACACAAGAAGGCTGCAGTGACGTGTCCTCTCAGCCTTCTCACCCCCAGCATGAAAAAGCCCAGCTCCCTGTCTCGCTCCAATTTATAGGAGGGAGAGGAGGTTCTTTTAATACCTGTATACCCGGCGTGAGATTAAGAAACAACGGCTCAAATGTTGGTTCGACCAGTTTATTACAAATTAAGATTAGGGAAATGGGGAAGGGGAGGACGGACACTATTATGAATTAGGGTAATGGGGAAGGGAAGGAGGGCGATAGAAAAGATAGAAAAGAAGAAGCAAGGAGTCTTTATAGGAAGCAAGAGGGAGATAGTCACCACCATGGATCCAGCGTGGTTGGTAGTTCAGTCTTTGATCTTCGGTAGGGGTGGGTCGTCGGGCATTGTTCTGTTGATGGCAACCACAACGGCGAGAACCACGACGACGACCATGGCGATGGTGGCCCCTTTTCAATGCTTTCAAAGTGGTCGAGTCAGCTGTCTTTGGAGTGATGGCTCAAATCCAAAGTGGTTGAGTCAGCTCTCCTTGGAGTGGCAGCTTCTGGCTCTGGGATCTCAGCAGGAAACTGCTTTGTTCCTATCCTCCTGGCCTTGCCAGCAGATAAGAGGGAGCAGGGAGGTGCCAACTTGTATCTTGCCTTCACAGGATACAATGGCATTGTGCCCCAGTCTTCCACAGCAAACAGGAGATCTTTGGTCGCAGGCTAGATCTTTTGCCAGTAAACAGTCCTGAGCACTGTCTTCCGAAGGCAAACAGCTCCAAAGATGTAAAACTGTCCACACAGTGATGTTGATTGCCACACAACACCCATCGCTTGCCTCCTGAACAAATCATTCAGAGTCTTATCACAAGAAAAACCTCAGGAAGCAAGCTTTGAGCCAAAAACCAAGGAAGGATTCTCACACTCCCCCAGCCTGTCTTTGCAGGGGAGCTGCTCCAGGCCTCTGATCACGTTTGTGGCTCTCCTCTGGGCCCTCTCCAGCAGCTCTCTGTCTTTCCTGTAGTGGGGGCTCCAGACCTGGCCACAGCACTCCAGATGGGGCCTTACGAGGGCAGAGTATGGAGGCACAATCCCCTCCCTGTCCCTGCTGGCCACCCCTCTTCTGATGGAGCCCAGGATACCGTTTGCTTCCCGAGCTGCAGAAGCACGCCGCTGGCTCATGTTTTTTTATCCATCAGGACGCCCAGGTCCTTCTCAAACTCGACTGTTTGTGAGGGTGGAGAGTGATAGGACAAGGAGGAATGCTTTTAAACTGAGACAGGGGAGGTTTAGGTTAGATATTAGGAGGAGGCTTTCCACACAGAGCGTGGTGACAAACTGGAACAGGCTGCCCAAGGAGGTTGTGGATGACCCATCCCTGGAGGCGCTCAAGGCCAGGCCGGATGTGGCTCTGGGCAGCGTGGTCTAGCGGCTGGCGACCCCGCACACTGCAGGGGGATTTAAACTAGTTGATCATTCGGGGCCTTTTCAACCCCGGCCATTCTGTGAATGGGTAGGAGGCTCTGGAGCTGGACGGACGGGAGATGTGGATGAAGGACCCTCCACGTTGCAGGGGTTGCCCTGGGCAAGTCAGACTGCCCTGTGTCACCGCACCATCCATCAAGAAAAAAAGAAGAGATGTCATCACGGGGGACTCCCTTCTGAGGGGAACAGAGGGCCCCACATGCCGTTCATGTCCCTCCCCCCAGGGAGGTGTTTTGCCTGCTTAGGGCCTGGGTGACATGTCACTAGGAACGTCGCTCCGTATGACGGAGTGACGGCATTGGTGGACAAAAGGAAGGTGAGACCAGTGTCATTTACTTGGACTCGTGCAAAGCCTCTGATGGTCCCCCACCACATCCTTATCTCCAAATTGGAGAGATGGGGATTTGATGGGTAGACCACCTGGTGGATACGGAGTTGGTTGAAAGGCTGCAGGCAAAGGGTAGTGATAGAGGGTTCATGTCCTGGTAGAGGCCGGTAACGAGCTGTGCCCCCCAGAGGTCTGTTTTGGGACCGATACTCTTTAACATCTTTATCAGTGTCATCAATGATGGAGTTGAGTGCACCCTCAGCAAGTTTGCTGATGACACCACGCTGAGTGCTGCGGTTGTGACACGGTGGAAGGAAGGGATGCTGTTCAAAGGGACCCCCACAGACTCAAAGGGTGGGCCCAGGTGAAGCCAATGAGGTTCAACACACCAAAGTGCAAGGTTTGGCACTTGGGCCAGAGGAATCTCAGGCATACGTACAAACGGGAAGGAACAATCCTGGCAAGTAGCCCTGCAGAGAAGAACCTGGGGGTCCTGATGGATGAAGACCTGAACATGAGCCAGCAATGTGCTCCTGCAGCTCAGAAAGCAAATGCAAACCTGGGGTCCATCAGAAGAGGGGTGGCCAGCAGGGACAGGGAGGGGATTGTCCCTCTCTACTCTGCCCTCGTGAGGCCCCATCTGGAGTGCTGTGGCATCCAGGTCTGGGGCACCCAATACAAGAAAGACAGAGAACTGTTGGAGAGGGTCCAGAGAAGGGCCACAAACAAAAATGATCAGGGGGCTGGAGCAGCTCCCCTACAAAGACTGGGGCCGAGGGAGCCGGGGCTCTGCAGACTAGATAATAGAAGGCACAGCGGAGAACTCACTGAGCCCTTCCAGTGCCTGAAGAGGACCTACAGGAAAGCTGTCTGTTTTAATGGGCATGTAGCAACAGGACGACGGGAAACATGGAAGAGGGCAGATTTAAACGAGATACTAGGAAGAAATTCTCCACGGTGAGGGCGATCCTTGTCAGCAGTGAAGAAGAGGTATCTCCTTGAGGAAGATCTGGTATGTTCTTGTCACACAGCTGACCAGATCAATCTACGTCCGTGACAGGGGACACGGGGGCAACAGGCCGCTGCCCTCCCCCCCCACCCCAGTCCCACAAAAATGGGAAGAAAGGAAGGGAGGAAAAGAGCAGCGGCAACAAGCTACGGAGGAAAACTTATTTTACTATAATATCGGAATACAAGATAACAAAATACAATACAATTTAATAGAAATTGAGATTAAAAAATCAGACAAGATGAGAGAGAGAGTTCGCGAGACCGAGTCAAGCCTGAAAAGCCTGGAACGGCTAGGAAAGCACCCTCCAGCACCCACTGCAACGCAGCAAGAGAGCGATGAGAGCAGATCCCGTGACTTCTGTAATGCACAGGGATAGGTACCAGGGACTGGGGCAGTGACACTTTAATGCCCCGTGCACTACACGATGTTTTGATGTGGAATACTGAAAGCCAAAAAACAAACAAGCAAAAAACCAAAAAACCAAAAAACATAGCACCATGACAGTTACCCAGGCAAGGGGACAACCGCGCAGAAAGAAGTCGAGCAAGTGAGGGAATGAGCTGTGCTGGGCGTGATGCACAAAGTACTGACAAAAGGAGGGGAGATGGACACAGGTTGTTGGAAGCAAGTTCTTTCAGAGGTTACACAGAGAAGCTGTGGAGCCGCCGCTCTCCTG